GGTCTGTATCTGTAGCGTAATGTGTGGAGCAGACCCATCCCTCCAGCTGTGTCTCCTCAGAGAGCTGTCTTGTGCTCTGCCTGCCTTCGGGGGCAGACTCAGCTCTCTTGGAAAGCAGATGTTTCTTTCCTCTGCTTGTATCTCATTATGACTGATTCCACATGAGACACCTCTGGAGAAGGTGCATCTTTAATATACATCTCTTCCATCCTCTTCCCTGCTGAAACTGGTCAGGGAGGCCAGTCCAAGATAACACTTGGTTACAAGGGAGAGGGTCTTGGTTGGTGTAATTTGGCAAAGCCTTAAAGACATTGGGCCAGCTGGCATCAACCCAGGCCAACAGGTATTTGTGCTTTGTGGTCACTGGAGGGACACAGTGATATGCCAGAGGTGGCTGGGTGAATAATACACCCTCTTGGGATAGACTTGGAATGTTCACTGCTACAGGCATATATATGAAAATAAATAGTGCGTCTTTTGCTTGGCTAGGCTCATAGGGATTGTCTTGCTTTCCTGCAGGGGAAGCTTCTATCCATAAATAATAAGATACAGATCTGGCTGGCTACTACATTCGTCCCATGGACACCTGCCAGTTTGTCACCCATTAAGGTTTCTGCGATTTCCTTCTTGGAGAAGGAGATAGGAGGCACCATTCCGAGCCTTGCTCTGGGAGAGCTGAGACAGTGCTGAGCAGGGAAAGATGCTGTCCAGTCTCGGGAGACAATTTAAGTACCAATGATGTGGCTCTAGGGAGGCAACACCCAAAGTGACGTGGTATTTTGGTGGCTCTCTTGAATCAGCTTAGAGCTGGTGAAATCATCTGGTTGTCACAGGTTTTGACTTCTCAGTCCTAGATTGTGGGTAGGAAAATATATGTAGTGGAAGTGAGAGGGTTGCTCCGGGCCTTGTCCTAGGATGTGAGGCTCTGGGATGTGAAGGGAGTATTGCCATACCGTGGTCATGGCAAATATTTAGCTCCTGAGTGCTTTGTTTGCTTCAGTCTCAGGGACTGCAGAGTGGGTCCAGAGGACGTGACCAGGCTGTGCCAGATACTGGTTCAATGTCCCCAGCTGACAGAAATTGAGTAAGTGGTGTGCACTCGGCAACCCTGCCTGCCTCCCCAGCCCGCAGATGCAGTCGGTGTTCAGGTTAGCAGCTAGGGTAAATCGGCTCTCCTCTCACCACAGCCTCTTAGAAATCCCCACAAAACTTCACCAAGATGCTTAGATAAACCTACACCTTCCACTGCCTTCTCTGCTTCAGACTTTGGCCTCTCCTAAGTCTACCATGTCTGTGTGTAAACACCTCAGAACACATATGTGTTCTCATAGTCTTCCTCAGTCATGTGGCTAGACACAAGTCTTATAGTCTACTCCTCGAGACCCTGGCTTGCAGTATAGCCAGAGCAAGAGCACCTGGCCCACTAACATATGAACCGAACTGCTGAAGAGCTGGTCACTCCAGGCAGGAGCTGGGCTCCAAGAAAATTAGAAGAATACTGGTCAGAACAAAAACTGAGTAGATAAAAATAACACAATACCCATATTGCATGCATGAAATGCATCAGTAGCATAATTTTATAAATTTACAGTAATGTAAGAGTAAGACTCTTAAAACTGGAATGTTAATTGTCTGTAGGATGTGGAGAAACACAGAGACCAGCCAGTAAGGACTAAATCTTGCCCAACTTTCAGGGCATTTCTGGACATGTCTTTTTTCAGAATTTGCCTGTAACACCCCCATGCACATATGTGTGTGCATGTCTATGTAGATTTTATAGAAATACTTACAGATTGTCCCAGTTTCTCTTGGAATTTGTCTCCTTCCATGTTTTACAGTCTGTCTGGAAATTCGTTGAGTGACCAGAGCATTGAGAGATTACTGAGCTCCCTGCCATACCTCTGTCATCTGACACTACTGAGGTAATGTTTGGGGTCCCTGCTTTGGTTGCTGCCATGAAACATTGATTTGGACAGTGTTAATACCAGAACATATCTCAGGAGCATTAATCAGTAATTGTAGATTAATAAGCTAGGCAAAGAAAATGCAGAAACTCTCTCACACCCATTCCTGTCTTGTTTCTAGAACCAAAGCAGCACTGAACCTTTTTTCTTTAATGATACATAGAGGAAAAAAAAAGGATAGGAGGAGAAATACCCACCCTAGGCACAGCATTCCAGATAATCCTCACTTAGCAGGTCCCATGGAACATGACTTCCAGCATCCATAACAGATGTACGACTTGTTGGTTGACACACCACCACCATGTGCATGGTCAGCATCTCACAGCTCTGCCCCTGCCGGGATCTGGCATCCTGCCACACTTGACACCAAAAGTGTTTCCTGGCAGCACATCAGCCATTTAGGCTGGGAATTCAGGCTAGAGAGGTGCTGTCAGGGGCTAGGGGACTCCCACCATGTGGACAAAAAGCTCAGAAGGAGCTTGGCCATCTTCTGCAAGGTGTTGTAGCATGGAGGAGCTGCAGTGTCTCGAGAGACTGAATTTGCTCGGTCAGGAGGTTGCTTCCAGTCTGGGGTATCTCTAGTCCAGTAGCCTTGAAGTGGAGTTGTTCAGTGTAAACCCTTGGTCTGTACTCCCTTTCTAGTCAAAGGAGACTAAAGGAGACTCTCCTTTAGTTAAAGGAACGCTGGGTGCCAATGCCCAAAACTTTAGATCCTTGCTCACTGATCTTGAGTTAAATGGGGCGGATCCAGCCTTTTGCTTCTCAAAGTAAACAATGGGAAAATTGGGCCACGTGTATTGGAACCTTTCTTCTTGGGAGCTGATTTCCTTGTTCTTTCTTTCCCCTCCTTTTCAGTATTAAGAACAACACATTTTCCCCACGTTGCACTGTCTTAGTCATCAACTCCATCAATCTCTGTGAATGGATCAGAATGGTAGAAGTCCGGTAAGACACTGAGACTGTTTGGAGCCCAGCAGCTCAGCTTTAAAGGGACTACAAAGCTTGTCATGTTTGAAGAGCATTGCTGAAGGACTGTCTTTTGTGTTTGCTTCAGGTCAAGTGAAAATGCTTTTTTGCATTTAGGAGCAAGGATGCGAAGCCAAAAGACATCCTGCAGGTACTGGCATACGACACTTAATTATAATCCACTTGTTTTGATTCAGTTTGAAACACTAGTGCAAGTAGCCAAATCTCCTCTTGTAAGAAGAACTCATGGTCTGGTAGTCAAAGAGCTTGGGCTAGTAGCTGAGGCTTTGGGGCTCAAGAGCTGCCTAAGTGCAACTCAGTACCATTTGAGATGCATTGGGATGGCAGAGGCCTGTGCCTTTCTTGAGTGGCCACTGGACTACTTGTGATCATCTTGAGTGGCACCAAACTGCTGGACAAGCAACTGAATTGAGCCCTAGACACCGCATTTTCCACATGTGTGTCTCAAATTCTGGGTGATAATCTGCATATGAGCATCAGTGTGATGTGTTTGTGATACGTGACTGCATCACTCTTTGGGATCGATGGTTGCTGGGTGCCCCTGTAAAGAAGACTGTAACATGTCTCCAGTTAGGCACCAAGGAGATGGCAAAAAATGTGAAAAGATCTGTTTTCCATTATAACGTGGGGTTTGTCATTACTAACCTCAGGGAGGTGTTATGAGAAGTATCAAGCACAGCTAAGGGCATTCATCTCAGTGAACGCTGCACGAAGACTGGTGTAAAAATGCAACTGCTGATGGGCAGCTCTCACTGCTCAGGCTGAGCCTGATTGCCGGCTGTGCTTTAACTCTCTTGCTGTCTCATACGTAGGCTGACGGACTGTGCCATCGGTCAAGGGCAGATAGATGAGCTCTGCAGAGTCCTGGAGCAGCGTGGGTGGCTGGCAGAAGTAGAGTAAGTGGGGCTTGGGTTGTTACCATGACCTTGAACGAGTGTCGCTGAGGGAGAGCTGGGTTGGCATGGTTCAGCATTGCCTGGGGTTTCCCAGCCTGTCTGCTTGTGTATGTGTGCTCGTTCAGACTATTTAGAAACAAAATTGATTAGTAATCATACAGGTCCTCTATAGATATATTTTAAGAGGGCTTGAGCTGGTGGGACAACTTCCTTGGGATTTTCACTCTGTGGCTGTTTTGAAGCATTTGTTGCTTCATCCGAGCTCTGCTCTGAGCTTGTGTTCAGAGCTCTTCATTTGAGCTTGCTCTGGAGCTTATGCATGAGGTAGTTTTGTAGGGCAGCAGTTTGTTTTAGACAGGCCTTTAATGGCCAAGCTGGGATTTAAGTCCAGGAAGTTTGGCTTTTTCCTTCAAAGCTTCTCAGAGGAGCATTGCTGCTTAAAAGGCTGAGTTTTGGCTGGCCACCTTGTTCTTCTGCCTTTCAGTCTCTCCCGGAATCAGCTGGGAGATGAAGGCCTGAGGTGCCTCTTGGACCACCTGCATCGAGTGCCCGTCACCTGTTCCCTCAAGTAAGAAAACACTATGAATGTGAGGTTCCCTAGCAGAAGGGCATTCACGCGATCCCTCCTGAAGCTGGTTGTCATGCTTCTTGCCTGCTCCTGCCTTAGGAGGTAAGGTCTGAGTGAGCCATGAGCACAACTCAAGACCTCCAGGCCAGGGTGACTCAGGGTCTGATCCAAAACCTGTGAAGTAAGTAAAAGTCTTTCTATGAGCGTTAGCAGGAGATAACAAGGCCCAGAGTAGGGTAGCATGACAGAAGTTGACCCAGTCCCCTGAGTTTTCAGTTCGTCACTTTTCTGTGTACATTGTCCTCTTTGAATAACTCAAGGCACGTAGATGCTGTGACCTTATCTGTGCCCTACACCAGCCTCTCCCCTTCCCTTTCTGGTGGGGAAGCAACTGCTCCAGCAGTCGGCTGCCTCTGTAGTGCAAGAGACAAGTTGCATTTGCTGTGTCACCTAAGTCATCGGTGCTGTGTCTTGGAGGGGTTCGGTGCATTTAGCACAGCCGACGGGGTCCAGCACCCCACAAACTGCTCTGTCTTCAGTGCCAGCTCTGTGGCTGAGGAGCCTGGGAACAACCCTGACTCAACACGTGAAAAACCTTCTTTCTCTTCTGTGCAGTCTCAGCCATAATAGGATTTCTCAGGATGGAGTTCTGCATCTCATAAATGCCTTTGCCATGTCTGGAAATACCACTGAAGTTCAAGTCAGGTGTGTGTTTCTCCTCACTAATTTCTGATTCTTCCCTGCATGTTCTCCTCTTAATTATCGCAAGTTTGTGGTCTTCAGGTAATAATGATGAAGGCCATATTTTCAACTACTTCTATGTATAAGTGCATGCAAAGCTTTTGTTCGTGTCCATTACTATTGGCCAAATATAGCTGCCAAGGAGGAAGCTAGCAGAACTGCTATTCCAAAGGGCCAAGTCATTTTTGTTTATAAAGACACAAGTATTCAGCTGTACTAATTGTTGTCATGTATATATCTGTAAATGAACCTTTTCAGGGCAGGAGTCAGCCTTTACTCTCTAAAAATGTGGTCTCTAATTCACTTCAATATGTTGAGATTTCAGAGTGAGTCTGTCGAAAGCAATTCCAATGTTCTTTACTTGGATTTGCGTCTTTATCTCCTTTCCTCTCTGGCAAAAATAGCCCATGGGTTCTGGGCTTGTTGCACTGGCATGAACTGCTTTTTCTCATGGATTCAAGTCACAAGGCTGGGCCATGCTGCTGATCTGTCTTTATGAATGTTTATGTTCATGTAGACCAGTCGGTCTGTTGTGAACCAAATTTAACCATGGTCACTTCCATTCATTCCTGCAGTTAAATGTGGGGGCTGAATCTTTCGGCTGGGCTATTTTAAAGCAGATCAGTCTCCTGTTTTAGCTCTCCCCAGAGCTTGGCAGACAGTGCAGGGACAGGAGGAGGCAGACAAAAGCAGGGCAGATCAGGATTGCTTCTCCCACCACCAGTGCTGCCTTATGCCAATTTAGCATTAGCAAAACCTTATTGAAGCATTTCCCTGGGCTGGTTTATTGTAGAGAGAGGTGAGCTGGGCCAGGTACCTCTGTCACTGCTGCGCTGTGTTGCTTTGTGCGGTTCAATGTATTGTTAAATTCTAACCATTGGGAAAAATAGTCATTTTCCCTCCAAATTTTACACTGATGTATCTTCTCTGTGCAGTTTGTGCTCCAAAGCAACTTTAATCATCAAGTTGACAAGCAGAAATGACCCGAGAAAGATTTTGAGGTAATGGTACAGATTTTTTTGCGTGATTTCTTTGACAAAGGTGGTGTCCTTTTTCTAGGGACAAGGCAGACAAAACCTCTTGTAGCCCCTAGCTCCTGGCATGGTGATATTTTACACTAATAGATGATACATTTCCTTTGATTCACCTTCTGAGAAGAGCTTTCTCATGTCACAGAGAACCCCACATCCCTTTCTCCCACTGCTTCCCCTCTGACTCTTCCTCACCTAGGAACCTGTAGGTGTGCCTACAGTCCCTGTCACAGGACAGGGTGCTACAAAAAGCTGCAATTAGCGTACACGTGTGCTGTATCAGAACATCTCAACAGATGCTTTTGAAGCGTTGCCACAATCTTTTTTGGAAGCCCTTTTGGAAGGCATTTAAGGTTTTGGTGCCATCCTTCTTTTTCTGTGGGGAAAGGTTGTGATGCCTGAGATTTCTGGGTCAGAAAGCCAGAACTGTTTTTACGGAACTGAGACTGTTCTGTTTTGCATCCTTTCAGACTCGCAGAGTGCAAGTTTCAGCCAGAGCACTTGGAAAAGTTGTGCTTGCTCCTGGAAAAGTGCACTGGTCTGACAGAGTACATGTGAGTTAATGGCTGCTTGGACCCATTTGGGTGGGCTCGTTTGTAAGCTGTTCATTACAATGACCTTTGGTTCTAGATCCTCAAATAACAACGTGACAGTCCAAGCTGCAGAAAGACTTTTGCATTCGCTGAGGAAAAATCTGGGTCCTCTGAAAATCAGGTACTGTGTCACTGTGCTGTTTTAGATACTGACCTGAGGCTGGTCTGATCATCTAAGATCTCCTTTCATCAAAAACAAGAGTGAACTGTGCTTCTTCCAAAGATAGGTAGCGTTGGCCTGAGAAATTCCCATGGGTGACTCTAAGTTATTGGTATTTTGGCTTTATCTCCTTGATTCCTACTAAGCATCATGTAAAGCTGTGCCCATAAACTGTGCTATCTCTGTAGACCTCTAGCTGCCTTACAAAGAACGTTGCTAATTCTGGTGAACGCATTCCTACTGTGTCCTCGCCAGAGGTCTCGCCAGAGCATCCTGCAGTTCACCCGGGTAATGAATTCTTCACTTCTCCCAAAAAGTGTTGCATTAGAGCACAAGGGCCAGGCTCCTTCTCATTGCTGTCAGTGGTAGGCAGGCAGGAGGGAAGTTGATGTTTGTGTCCTCCTCCGCAGGGATGCTGGGCTGCTTCTCTGTTTGTTCCCAGTTTGCACCTTCTTTCCTGTGTAGACATTACTCTGATGAGCAAAGCAGTCTTTCCGTGTATGTCAGAGTGCTGAGCACTCAGCTGAGAGAGGCAGCTGACAGAGATGGATCCATGCATGTGAATAAAAGAGAGCTGCCTATATTCTGCTTTGCAGCATAGAAGAGCCATGGGTATGTAAAGAAAGTATCACAAACCTTCTTGAGCTGGCTGTCCAGACCTGTGGAAACATTACTGAGATCACGTAAGTAGCACCTCAAGTTCTGGTATCTTTTAGATATTTTCTTTTAGCCCGATACTTTTAAGGAAATGGGATTGAAGCCAGCACTTTAACTTGCTCTTCTGTTCTTTATTCTCTGTCTCCAGTGCATTTGTAAGCCATTAGCCAGCTTGAAGCAAATTTGACCCAAATGTCTGGCGGGTAGAAGTGCTTAGAAGGTTTGTGGTCGCACACCTTAGTAGGTGTAGTGGAAAGGAGGCCATGTTCCTAGTCTTCCTTGGGAGAAAGGGTGCCCAGATTAGGCTGGCTTTGGAACTAGTTTAAATATTGCAAACCTCTTCAGAGATGGGTGGTTAGCATTCATGCACCAGCATAGTTCTGTGCCATCCAGACGTCCTGATTCTTCTTCTGAAAAATAGCATTTGCTCTCCCTCAAGAGTTCACAGGCTTATGGTGTTCTCTAATCTCTACCTTTCCAGGATATGTAAGGATAAAACCCTCTTCCAATTAGGTGTAAGGTTCCCACACTGCCTGGAGAAGGTGGAATCAGTTGTTAGCAGGTGAGTAAGTGACTATTTGTCCTTATTTTCTCCTTGTTCTGAAACTCACCATGGGATGAAAAATATCTTCAGAGTGTCTGAGGCTCTGGTCTCCATGGGTTCAGTCTCAGAGTGCCTCTGTGCCACACATGCAGAAGGAACCTTATTCACGTACATGTGTCTTTCGGGCCACCCTCCTTCAGGCCCATACTGGACCTGCATGAGGTAAAAAAATCTACCTACCTTCCCTGCAGGACCAGGAGCACTCAGGAGACATAAGCACTTTGAAGAGACTTAAGACATGCTGGCTTCTGCATGAATGTGTAGAGAGAGAACAGCATTAGTGTCTTTTTCTCTTTGTGTAGCTGAAGAAGGCGGCAGCTATCTTCTTGTGCAGTTGGGGAAGGGCTGTGTTTCTCTACACTGGACTGTGATGTAGATGGGACATAGCAGGAGAGCCCAGGGAGGGCACCTGCAAAGCTCTGATCTGTTCCTAAGCCTGGCTCTAAGCGGCACCAGATGCTGCAGTGGGCATTTGCTGATCATCACTGACAGGGGCGTTGTGTGTTTGCATCCTGCAGATTGAATCTGTACAAGCCAGAAATCAAGAGTGCTTGTTTCTACCAAAGGGTTTATGAAAAATGTGCTCAGCTTCAGGAATTGAGGTGAGTTGCCAGGCATTGTAGAGGATTTTTTTGGGAAGGGAGTTGCTTGTCTTTGTGTGTGCAGAAGAGCACGCAGCAGAGAAGGGGAGAGGCCAGTGCAAGGTCCCAGTCCCTCTGGGTCCCCGGCTTAGAGTGTTTGGTTGGAAAATAGAAAAGACCCATAGACCTAGTGGCTTCCTGGGGTTTCCTTTGAAGGCATCTAAATCTCTCCCCTGTGCCCAGATAATCCGTACTCTCTTATTGTCGCTGGGAGCTCCCATGGGACCTTGCCAAGTATCGATGTCATGACACTTCTTCAGTGTCCCAGCACCGGTGTGCTTTAGCTGTGGGCTTGGTACAGACCTTTCACCATCAGGACAGAAGATGATCATTGTTCTGTTCTTGCAGGTGGTCTCATGTTGAGCTCCACAATGATGAAGCAGAAATGCTAGTCAGGATTTTGCTACCTCTTCCAGAGCTGAAGAAGTTTGGGTATGTCCCCAGCTGTGGTCTTTTCCACATCTTTATCGTTTGCTCAACCCAGTGCCTCACCCTGATCCTCTCTGAAACACTCTTTGTCTGGAATATGGCCATGCACTCTGTGATCTCTCCTGACCTGTGTCTAGGTTGCAAACTCAACAGCTCTCTGCAGTTCATGCTAAAGGTAGTTATAGGGGCACCATGAGCATGTCTTGAGGTTTTCTCCTCTTCCCCTTTTTTGAAGTGAAAGCAATTTGAGACTGAGATCTTGGCTCTTGTTTACATTGTAGGTAAGTTTATACCACCCTACTGTGTAAAAGAGCTTTTTCTGGTGTGAATAGCATTCAGTCCTTTTCACAGCCCTCTTCAACTGCCTGTGAGTGAGTGGCAGGCTTATAAAGGGCATCTCTGCCCAGTGAAATGCTGGGGGTTGGTTGGCCCAGGCCATGGGGCACTGTTGGCACAGAGACTGTGCTGTTTGGTACATGTACGTCATGTGAACCTCTCTGAACTACCTAGTCCTCGTAGTCCTGTACACAGGAGGTGTGGAAGTCTCTCCAAACTTACTGGTCCCTGATGTCTATGCTGGATGGGGTTTGGGATGGGGCAGCTTGCCTGTCAGTGCAGTAAACTCCTCTTTTTCGGTGTGCTGAGACCTGACCTTCTTATTTGATCCTTGCTGTTTTGCAGGCTGACCTCTAGCAGTATTATGCCAACTGGAATTGATTACTTGATCACGGGCTTGCAGAATTGCCAGGCCATTGAAGAGCTCAAGTGAGTGTGTTATTACCAGGCTGTCCAGAGTCTGCCAGGTCTTTCTAGAAGCTTTAGTTAAACTGCAGCCTCGTTTCTGCCTGTACTGTGGACAGATGTAGTTTTCCTGGTGGCTGGAGGACTTCAGATAGGGAAGAAGCGACAATTCCTTTTTATTTGCAATGAACAATGAGTGAGAGAGACAGAGATCAGTAGTCTCTGGCAGGGAATGTCCAGTGGAGAAATAAAATGTTTTGGTAGATGGTTTTTGCATGAATCACGTCCCAGCTGGGAGCAGCAATCCCAGAGCCAGCATTTCACTCCTGGAGGATGATCTGGTGGCCTGTGCACAGACATGGCTTTTCCAGGCACCTACATGTAAGGCATCCTTCTGTTATGAAGTGCCACTGGACCGTGTGTGTCACTGTCGCGAGAGCTTTGCCATATTTTGGTCATAGTGGCACCTTGCTCCAGGAGGGGCTGGGTTCTTGCTCCAGAGATTTGGAATTCTCTTGGTATTTTATTAGGATCCAAACACGTCCAGTAGAATTGCATTAGAGAACAAAATTGAAAACTATTCACAGGGACTAGAATATACTCCTACTTCTCTTCCACCCTTCTGCTCCCCTCTGCTCTGAGTGCTCGCATGACTGCCCATGCTGTGTTCCTTTGTTATTTCATCCTTTAGCCTGGGCCACATGAAACTCGGCAGTGCTGCCATTCCTAAGCTTGTGCTGGGACTTCGTGAAATGCCATCTCTGAAAAGGCTTATGTGAGTATGTGACTGCAGCTTGCCTCTAGCCCAGCTCGTGATATTGAGTAACACTAGCTTAATGTCCATTTTCCTGGGGATGTTGTTTCCAGCTTGAACCATAACAGTATTGGTAATGATGGCTGCTCCAGACTCGCAGAAGCCTTGAGGAATATGCACTACATGGAGGAAATCAAGTAAGTTTCTCCTTTCTTGCAGTGTCTCATCAGCAGAGAGGTGACCACTAGTGCCAACATTTGGAGAGACCCAGATGTGCTTATACACGATGTTGTAACAAAAGCAGGGAGGTTGCAAAGTGCTCATGTATGAGGTACCTCGGGCTAGAGGAAATCAGAGCTTGATGTTCAGAAGAGGAGAATTTGGCCTAACCCCGCTCTGCTGCAGTCACGTAGAAAATGGATTAAACAGCCTCTGGATTTAAATCTCTGGAATCCCTGGGATCCAGAACAGATCCCTTGTCTCCTGGGAGAGCCTTGGACCCAGTACTTCCCTGCTCTGAAAAGATCTGAATCTAGAGCCAACCCCAGGCTTGCTCTGCTTTTCTGCCTCTCTCTCTATCCAGATTCTGTCCATTCTCTACTGTAGAAGTTCGGAAAATAATAACCAGCTGTTGCCTGCCTTGGCATTCTGGCTGAAGTAATTTCCCACCCATTAACAAGATCCAGTGATTTTGATTGCTCTTTGCAATTTTTTTTAATGCCTCATTAACAGCTATTAGTTTTTCATGAGATAGTTGAGACAAGCAGCTCTCTGATTTTGCTGCCAAGGTCAGAGGTGTCATCCAGTGGATGGGGGATATTAAATAAGATCTCATACTTTGATGCTTAGCATTTTCCTTTACCGCACAGCCTTTCTTCTCTTCTTTAAAGTTTAAGCCACAACAAGATCGGAGATCCAGGCCTGATAAATCTAGCTGCTGTCCTGCTGGAAATGCAAAACCTGAAGAGAATCGAGTGAGTCCCTTTGTTTTGTTTGCAGTGGTTTGGGTCATGGCCACAGTTGGTGGGGAAGCCTGTGTGGGAAGCCCTGTGCCGCCTTCATTTATACAATGTTCCACCTCCTTCCAGCGTTTTCGATGTCATTGAAGACCTGATACAAAATCTACCAAACCAATGGAAGGTGTTCCATCTCCTACCTTCCCATGGAGAGCTGGGCCTGGCAGCGACATTTTCTGCCAGTGCAGAGACTCTCTGAGAGTGAGGGTTACAGCCATGTCCTCGTGCGGTCACCCCCAGAGACAGCGGTGGGCGTTTGCGGCCCTTCGCTAGCTGTTTGAGCAGAGAGATCTCTGGCTCAGTTGTGTCCTGCAAAGTAAATCTGCAAGCTTGTGGGGAATCGTACAAGTCTCAGCACCTTTCCTCGGGCTATGTAGGGTTCCCAGTGTGGTGGCCCCCAGTGTTGCTACACTGCTTTGTTTTGCTAGTGGAAGAAGAGGTGAAATTGAGAATTTGTCAAAGCAAGGACACAGTCTCTAGGCAAGGCTCTCTCTCAGAGACATGGATTCAAACTGTCCCTCCTCCAAAGGAACAGAAATTAGAGCATGCAGTCTGTTTGTTAGGCTCAGCCCTCGGGTATACCTTGTAATTTTTTGAAATTACAAACCTGGAAATGACTTGAACAAGAAAAGGAAATTCCCAGTTCTGTCTGGGAGAGGGAAAACTGCTCCTTCCCCCCAGTACCTGCAGGGGCAGAAGTGACTTGGTACTTGACAAAAACACACTACAAATCCCCAGGCCATTTTCCAGAGACCTGTGTCTCTGGACACACCACTGCAGCCCTGTGTAGCCCGTTGCTGCAGTGACCCGAGTCCCCCATCACACCAGGCAAACAGTGAAATATCTTAAGCTGGTACGTTCTGGTTCTTGTTCAGTCACTGACAATCTTTTGTGCTTATTTTAGCCTTTCAGGGAACAGTCCCAGTCCTGCTGGAGGGGAAAAGCTGATGGAAGCTCTTGCCTATTGCAAGCGCATCGAGGAGCTACTGTAAGTGTGTCATTTCCAAGGTCCATTTAGGAAGCTGGGCAAAAATCAAGGCAAAGAAACCAAATCTCATCTGGCTCCAGTAAAGCTAAAATCATTTTTACCACTGATTCTTATGAGAGCAGTGTAAAAACTCACAGCTATATAGGATAGGAATGTCTGGTGCTGGGTGTGGGAGGTTTGGGGATTGCTTGTTCACTGCAATCTCTCAGAGATTTCCAAGAACCGTATGGACTGCATCAGTGGGGAAGAACTGAATCTGTGGTTTAATAGGCAGCGTCACAGGCATATGGGCTGTGCAGTGCCTGTGTTGCCTAAGAAATCAGCATTAATCTATATAGCTGCAAAAATGGAGGGAAGATGACAGATAGAGGCTTTACTCAGCCAGATTTATTATCAGTCATTCCATTGCAGACCAGTTTATAGAACAAATGTGCCCCTGCTATATTAAAGAAATAAAATAATTAAAAAAAAAAATCAGAAAAAGTTATTTCTGTTACAGTTAAAACACTGGAGCTATTCATATAACCTTCAGATTGCAGCATACTGGACTAAAGGCACACATTAAAAAGTGCAATTTTGGTGTAATTCCAGCTCAGGACAACCCAGTCAGGAAGGGAGATCAGTGTGCACCTGAGAAGTGCCAGTCGGTTTTACTTGCCTGTTTAACTTCTGCTGCAGGATTCAAACCCCCGTTGTTCTTTCCTCCCACCTCAGTGTCCTTTGAATCGTGGACACTAGCTTCTTTCAGCATCGTCCCATGCACATGTGGGTGAGGAATGGGGGTCACAGATAGGTGTGGGTGACACACAGGTGAGGAATGAGGCTCTGTAGTTCACTGCCGGTAACATCTCATTTGTGCTTCTTCCAGACTATCAAGGAATGTTTTTGGAGACAGGACAGCAGTGAAACTTGCCCTCTGTCTGCCTCATATGACCAACCTGAAGATCCTGCAGTAAGTGTCAGCCTCTGCCCCAGGAAAGCTGGATATCCCGGGAATATGGGGGATGGTTGAAAGAAGGCATGGGAAAAGGCACAGACTGCAGTGGTGCACTGGTCTCGTGTTTAGACATTATTTTAAGTGTCTCAGGATTGAGAAACTCTCCACAATTACTCTGCTGCATCAAGTCACATCAACTACTCTTGTATAATCTCTTGCAGCGTTAACTTTAGAGATGAACCAGGTGTTGTATATACAGTAAAATAACCCTTAAAATTCGTTTTCAGTATGTTAGCTTCTAATGCCTCTGGGTATCCTCTCGTTCTGGTGTAATGTAAAAATAAATATGAGCACCTTTTGTGGTCCCTCACTGTTTTGTGTAGGCACCTCTGAGTCATTTTTCCCCCTGAACTCAGTGATATTATAGTTTTAAACCTTTTATGGGAGTCTTTCCAGGGCTCTAACACGTGGGACTTTCTCATACTGTTTTACAGTAGCAACGCAGGAAATCGGTGAGCTGGAAGAGCTCAGTTAGCTTAGTGGTGTGTTTTCCAGCCTGTGTCTAAGGTATCGTCAAAAGATAACTTAGAAAAGGAATCCCAAATCTGGGATACTGTAGTCCTCTGGGTAGGTTCTTGTCTTCACTGGAAAGGTGTTGGAAAACCTGCAGACGTGAGATTTCCCATCTGCTCTTTGTTCTTAAGGCTGTTCCTCACCCATCTCAAACCGATCCCGTCTGCGCAGAGCTGGAGGCAGACTGCCGGTGGTACTGGGCAGCCTTTGCTTTTGCAGCGACTGGCTGACTGTGCTCCTTCGATGTGAGCATGGGCAAATCCACTGAACGTGTGTGTCCTTAGGGCTAAGTGTCGTTGAAAGCAACAGGAGCTATGTGACGTGCTAGCCACATTGCTGGCCCCCCCTGTTGCCTCCCCGTTTTCCAGGCCCCTTCATTTGATTAATCCACAAGAATCCCAGGTTATTACCAGCACCGGGTGCTGATTCAAAAGATGTAGCAGTTATCTTCTTGGCAAGTTAAATATGAGCTTTTATTACAGCTTTATTCTAAAGTAATCCTCCAATGCTTATGTTTCTTTTGTTAGCTTGCAGAACAATAACATTGGGCCAGCAGGAGGGATGGAGCTGGCCAGAGCCCTGGTGGCCTGTGGGCTGCTAGAAGAGATAAGGTAGGCCATGGCAGGGGCGCTTGGGATGGTGCCAAATGTATGGACTGGTATCACTCTGCGGGTGGGGATCATTTCAGCTCACAGGCCTGAGGCTGTCACGTAGGCTCTTCCCGTGCTCAGCGTGACTCCGCGGAGGGGAATCCCTCCACCCGTCCCAGACACACTTCCTAGGATGAGAGGAGACACTCTCTGAAGGTCACTGCGGTGCACTGCCTGCAGGGCAGCTCAGATCGCTTCAGACATAAAACCTTGTCTGCCAGTGCTGTTTGCCAGGTTTTGTGTAGCCATGTGCCTTTCAGCTGCTGTATGCAGTAACCTGGGGAGTGGTAGAATTTCTAAATATGGAACTGAAAGAATGGAGGTGATGTGAATTAACTCTTCCTGCTGCATCCTTGATGCCACCGTTCTTTGTTATGTGTTTATTATTGTTATATGTTTGTTATGTGTTTTATTATTGTTATGCGTTTATTTACTTATTATTTGGACAATGCCCATAACAACATGCTTTAACTTTTGGTCAGCCCTGAATTGCCAGGCAGTTGGACTAGATGATCATTGTAGGTCCCTTCCAACTGAAATTTTCTATTCTATTCTATTCTATTTTATTCTATTCCATTCCATTCCATTCCATTCCATTCCATTCCATTCCATTCTATTCTTAAATAACAAGATGAATTAGGGTGTTGGTATTTTAAGTGTGAGATATGTTAGAGCAGGGGAGGTATTGCCATTGCTTGTGTTTGCTGGTAGATGAGAACAGAGCAGCACACCCTGGTAAAGGCTGGAAGGCAGTTCTGCTGCCCACTGAGTCTTTGACAGCCATGTCTTCTTCCCAGTCTCCCTTACCTTCATTTCCTCTCAAGTCACACCAGTCCTTAACTCCAGCGTAATTTCTTATTTCTAGTTTCACATGCAACACATGATGTGCTGCAGGTGTGTCCATCTTAGCCATTGGTATAACCCCACGTTACTGTCTGCAGGCAATTCAGTGCTGAATGGACTTACATTGCAAGTTAGAGCAGAGCTGTCATTCCCATTTTACCAAGCAGGGAATTGACCCTGAGTTGCCATGTGCCAATCTGGCTTGTCCCTGCTGTCTAGAGTCCTCACTTAGTCTGGGTACTCGTTATTGACTTGCTAATTCACAGTTACATTTTGGTGGTGGCTTTTCTCAGACTAACTGCTTTTTCTGCTTTTTCTTTTTAACTCAAAGCTTTTCCATTACTCTTACAGTTTATCAGAAAATGACCTTGGGGAAGGAAGTATCCATGCCCTGTCGGAGGGGCTGCCGTGCTTTGAACACCTCCGGAAGATCGAGTGAGTACCCGGGCACTGAAGGCTGCCGGGGCAGAGCGTGGCTGGCTTTGTTTGGGGCTTTGCCAGGGCAGGAGCTCAGCAGACGGTGCTGGTGCTGGTGCTGTATTCCCAATCGTTTCTGACGCCAGCACATTGTGCCCTCTGTTTTTTCTCTCCCCGCTGCTTCAGCTTGAAACTCTGTGGAATCACTGATGATGCTTCAAAATCACTTTCTCACAGCTTCCGACAATGCCTTTCCATGGAGGAGATAATGTGAGTGTGGGAATGGATGGGGAGACCCTTCAACACACAGGTCACGCTTGTTTTAATGTCTGCTCCTATTTTTAACTGCAGTACATTTCTGATCCTGCTAAATACTTACTGATACTTACCGATACTTACCACTAAGTACTTTTTAGTGATAAATTTACTAGTAATTTACTAATTGACAAAATTATTGCTAAAAATTTCCTGGTATAACTAGCAACTTACTGGAAGCTGAATGTGAAGAGCTGAACAGAATATGGAGGAAAACACTCATCTTCAAACTCTGTCCATTATCCTTGGTCTTTTAGCATCTGCTTTGCGAGGCAGGACAAATTCCCCATCTTGTTCTCCATGGTCCAAGTCTTGCCTCCATTTTTTTACAAGATGGCCAGAGTTGGCTCTCAGAGCAGAGCAGGAGCTTCTCTGTGCAATTGTAGAGGCTGAATTGAGAGCTCAAAGCAAAGTGAATTCGGCCTGTAGATGAACAGGGTGTACCACCACCTGCAGTCTCGCTCTCCGCACTGGAATAAAAAGGGTTGCTCCGATGCATGGACATTTAACATGTTTTCAATGAACAGCATAGATGGGCTAACTACATTCTGACATGTGTTCACCTGCCCAAGAGAACCTCAGTGAGAAGCCTGCCAGGAACGTGCTCCGGCTTATGTCTTTTTAAAAGCAATTTGCCCAGTTGCACTAGAGGGACCTTAACTTTAATTGTAGTACACAAGATCCCATGGAGTCAGCAGTAGTCTCATCAATCCTGAGCTACCTGTAGCTTTAATGAAGACTAACACTGCCTGAGGTGCTGGCAGGGTACGGACCTCCTAGGCTGAGATCACTCCTCTATCGGGATATAGATCTGTGAGACCTAGGCTCTGTAGTCATCTCTGCTGTGGCCAGCAGGGTGACTCTTGATTGTCATCATACTCTTATGTGCCTCAGTTCTGCAAAGTACTCGTGGATGGTTTGAGTAAAATGATGCATGGGTCAAGAGCCCACCAGACTTTCCCTCCCCCAGAGGGTATTTGTGTGGAGATCACAAATCTCTTAGGACTCAGGGCATTAGGTCAAAGCCAGGATTTTATTGCCAGACCCATGAGAGGCAATAATCCAGCGGAGTAATGGGATGAGTAAAGCAATATTCAGTGCATAGGTGTGTTGCTTGCAGCATGGCACTAAGACTAGTTAACCATGTGGGGAGTTACTGCTCCTGGATTACTAACAGATAGGCAGATTCTCCTTTAATAGTAGTGTTAGGAGGGGTCTGGTCATGTTAGTGGAGGCATATGTGAGTTCTGTCATTGGGAAATCTGAGTGACACAGCGAGCAATATGCTGATACGCATGAAATCCCAGAACAGGCCGTGAACTTGTTTCGCGGAAGGCCCCAATTCTTGAGCTGGATCCTGTCCTGCCTTTCTTTTTTTTGGCCTCTACACACGATACAGAAATTCTGGAGTTCCTCAGACTTGGGTAGAGGAATGGCTCTGTGAGGTGGCCCCAGGATCATTCAGCTGAGTGTTGTAGTGAAGCACTGATGGTGCCGTGCCAAGTTTCTGTTCTCCAGGCAAGAGGGAAATGCCCAGGCTGTTCAGTCAGTGGCAAAGAAAGGATCTGGAGAATTTTCTCACTTGCTAATGCACCAGAAAGTGAAAAACCCAGCCTTTCAAGAGCCCTGCGAGCTATCCTTTGAAAGAGCTCAGAGTCAAAAGGCGGCTTTAAGAGCAGGTTGGAGAGGCACCTTAGCTGCTGCAATAGGAAGGAGTTGTCCTGGGGTAAAGCTGTGTGCTCAGCAGTCATTGCCATCTTTCGCATCTCATTCCCTGGGCCTGCAGGACTCTGGAGATAACCACAGTCCCTAGGCTCTGTGGTGACATTCCCTGGTGTCTTACCATGGTGAAACTGAGGAAACTCCTCAAAATTAAGCTTGTAAATCGGGGGAACGTTTACCTGCCATGATAAGAAGGCGATAAGCTCTTGTAAACAGGCGAATCTGTGAGGGGGTTGTATCACAGCACTGCTGTTACTCCTCTTGTGTTTATCGACTGACTCACAGTTGGGATTTCTTGTCTGTCTTAGACTGTCTTGGAACACCCTTGGTGACGGAGGAGCCCAAGAGTTGGCCAGTGCTCTCCCAGGGATGGAAAAGCTGAAGATGTTAGAGTGAGTACAGCCCTGAGAGCAACCCCAGGAAGAAGAGTTGTTTTTCTGTCACTGAGCCTTCAACCACAGCACTCCCAAAAAGGGGATGGATGTTAGGAACAACAGACAGGCTTTTGCAGTTCAAATTCTTGCTTAGCATTCTTGCTGCATGCACCGAGGGCCAGCCTTGCTTGGGTGATACACAGCGCAGAGAGGCATTTTTTTATTTAAGGTGTTTGCGGTGTAGGTATCTAAACAGAAGCTAGTCTGTGAAGGCCTCCTGTTTGAGTCAGGCAAGACAAACTGGTATTTCTAGAACATGATTCGTATCACCTAATGACCTCGGGTGAGCGGCTTCCTGCAAGCTTTTACTTCTCTTCGATGTCTGGGATGGTCTAGATGGGTACCGTGCTGAGTGAAAGCCTGCAGCACGGCAAGCAATCCATCCCGAGGATGGAGCGGCCAAATTGTGGGTGTGAGGCCATAGGAGCTCAAAGGAAGCTCAGATGCAGCTCCTGTGCTGGAGCTGCAGTGCAACCGGCAGCTGGGGTCGATGTCGCCAGCTCACGTGCTGGCCCGGTGGCATCACAGCCCAGCCCTATTCCATGGGAGAGACTGTCATCTTCTGCTCAAGGACTGTTCATGGAGCTTTCCTCCCCTTGGCCCTTTGGAATACATAGTATGTGTCTTCCATCTCTCAGCTGTATGAAAATATTAATTAGTCTGTGGGTCATAGGGTCAGAAACCAAGTTTTGTTTGTCTTGGGCAGGGAAACTGCATAGTAGAGCACATAGTAAAACACGGCTGTTTTACAGGTGAGAGCAGGAAGGTTTTTTCTGAGGCAGGAGGAGTTTTTGGCACCAAGCTCGCAGTGGGATCTGTTAGAGTGCTCCAAGGGCAAGAGATCTGCTTACAAGTCCTGTTGCTAGAAGGAGGTCATAGGGCGCAGTGCACACACACTTCTTGCATAAATAGGGCCACGGTCATAAAGATGAGGCTGATGTAAGTTGTATGGCATTGCTGTGCTTGTGCAAAAGTGTAGCTCTTCTGGGACAGGAGAAGGAGGTGGTGATTATTCAGCTATTTTCCACTCTTGATTTGGTTTTGGATTTTGAAACTCTCTTTTTGTTTCTAAAACAGTCTGGAGAAAAATCGCATTGGCGCCTGTGGGGCCACAAAGCTAGCAGAGGAACTTGCCAGGTGCCCAGAAATTCAATTCATAAGGTGAGCAGGTATCACGGAGCTCTGTGGCTGGGTATCGGCTCAGCAAGGGGAAGTTGGGGTGACCAGTCTTGGGACAGTCGTGACCCACGCCGGCCTGCTGCCCTGGGTTAGCTGGCATGGAATAGGATATTGCAGGGGATGCAGACGCAAGCCAAGTAAGCTAAGGGTTTTCTAGGCCCCTCAGAAAGTCTTGGGGAAAAGGGACTGAAAAGCTTACTGGCTTTAAATGAGGTAAAAATGAACACCCAGTTGTGTAATCTCCCCATCAGGAAGTTTGTTGCATTTTTTCCTTTAAGTTTTCTTTCTCCCTTTACATCTGATTTCACTTCAGATACATTCCTACCCTGTCCCACTCTGCCCTGGGATCCATATCTTGCAGATACTTGCACACCTGATTTTTCCCACTCCTTGTCATTGCTTCTCCAAACCCTGTGTATCAAACTCCACTAGAAACCTCTTGTAGGAGAGACTCACTCATCCTTCACTCGTCTGAAAAGTCACTCTTCTGAGAGCGCCTCTGATAATTTTCTGGTAACACAGCTCCCACAGCCAAGTGTCTGCTCCTACCTGGGCTGTCTCTTTGGCCCAAAACAGGCTCTGCCTTCCCCAAAGTGAGAGCAGCCCGAGAGTAACCACTGAGGAATGTTTCTGGTCCCGGCTGGATTTTGGGGCCCCTCTGTGCTTGCTCAGATTGGGGGACACAGCACAGCACGCAGTCCCTCTGGCTCCTCGGGGCACTCTGCTTCACAAGGTAGAGGCCCAGTATGGGAAGCTTTTGGGTAGACTCCACCAAATGAGGTAGATGAAGAAGGGTGGCTCACGTAAATCAGGTTGCTTGCATGTAACTTGGTTCTTCCTCCCCGTTCTGAGATCCTAGTGGCCTGAGGACTTTTCAAAGCCTTAATCTCTCTCCCAAGCTAGGTAAGTGAGTCCATCTCAATGGGTAGGCAGCTGCTGGGTTACTGCTGTGTCGCTGAGATATGGCCATACCTTGCTCCTGTCTAACTGTTGGACCCGCTTTGATGAAAACTCAAAGCTGCCTCTTCCACTGTCTTCGGCATGCCACCTCCTCGCTTACCACACCTAGTCCTACGGTAACACGTTTGCTGTCGTTGTAGGCTGTGGGACAATCCAGTGCGCAAGGGCCTCGCTGAGAATTTGACAAGGCAAGATCCAAGACTATGTTTCTCCTTCTACTAGCAAAGAAGAGCCCTTGCCTGACTAGGAATTCCCTCTGTCTTCCACTGCTCTCAAAAATTGCACTGATGAACCCAGGAAGTCAAAGTTCCTACAATTAACAATTGTAACTATTAGGTCTTGCTTCGTTGCACTGAACCAAGTGTGAACACTTAGTGGTGTTTTGTTTCTTGTGAGCTTTTATTGTACAGAAAAGCAAAAGACTGAAGAATCGCTGCTGAGAAGGCAGTGTTCTTGGTGTAAAAACATTGAAACTCTCTTCAAGAGGATGAGGTGCATCTGTTCAGGCATTCAGAAAGCCAGCAGAATATTTCATTATCTTTAATCAAGATTACAACACATACAGGATGTTCCAATAAAAGCATGCGCATCCGCCAGGAGAGGATGTAAAATTATTCACAAAATTGTAAACTGTTCACCCTGTTACAAATGCACTCAAGCAGGCTGTTTGAAAATTGTGTATAACTGTGTGTGATTTTTAGGCGAAAAATGGTAATAATGTGTTTTTGTTCACTTCATGTCAGGCTCCTTTTCATACAGAATTGCCTCAGTTTCCTAGTAGAAACTTCAGGACTTTTGAAATTTCAAATCATTGTCCAAAATGATCAATATTTACACTGTGATAACATGGAAAGGCTGATATCACCATAAATTTCAGTGAGAAACGCGGAAGTGCTGAGGTTGTAAAACAACTTGTAAGAAAACTGTGACTGTTCTGTGTGAGAAGATACGCACTACTGATTATTTTCACGTGGGGTTTTCTAGACCTTCGTGGAGTTTTTGGAAGACTTGATTGCACTGATCTCTTTGAGGTGAAGCGAGGGGTTGGTTAGCTTGAAATGTTGACCACATGGTAGATCCTTCAAGCCTCTACTATCCCCTGAATCCCAGAGCCTACGTGTCACTGGGCAATGGATGTTGAACCTGTGGGAACTGGAGGGAGAAGACCCCAAACACCACGTTTGCTGCTCAGCGGGAGAGACGGACTACAGCTGCTCCTTGCACGTGTGGAAAGACAGCTTGAGTTGCAGGAGTGCGGCCCCATTGTTCTCATTATTTATTAAGTTGTTTTATAATGTTTTCCTTACGTGTTTCTGCTGTAAATATTTAATCCTTGAGTGGATTTATTTATGAACTTTTGTTTACAGTAGCGTTTGCCTGGGGAGACGTGACTGATCTGATTTGGGCAGGGCAGGCGTTTGGAATGAGATGGAAGTGCTGGTCCAGCAAACCTTTGGGCAGAGGACGTGGACAGCTGGTGCCTGTTATCTCCGGGGGAGCCACTGTCCTTATTTAAAGATCAGCATTAGACTCCGTGAGATACCAACATCGTTGCGTAGAGGTGGGACACATTTTGCAGAGGCTGTACTCTGAAAAGGGTTTAAAAGCAACAACAAAATAAAAAAGGTAGTGAAATTCCTTATCAGGCCATAATTCAATGAAGTAATCAAGTACTTAAGATTCAAACACTGGAATTTAGGAAAAGCTTCACCAAATGTGCCTTCTATTTTCATCCTGTATTGTCAGATCTAGTTTGCAGATGCAAACCTTCCTAGTACCCATCAAAGGAAAAGCGTGGCACAAAAGGCAGCGTGATCACGTACCGAAAGGTGTCTCGGTGCCGTTAGCTCTTCACAGCTTTCAAGGTGAGCGTGTTTGTCAGCTGGGCTCTTCTCTGGCCCTGGGCTCCTTTTGGAAGTACAAGAGGTTGGACAGAGTTTGCTGTTTCAGTCCAGGCTGTGAGCTGAAAATTCATTTTTTCCTCCATTTGAAACATCATTTTAGTAGGACTAAGTACTATGTGTGATAAACGATAGAGTCTGAGTTTTACTCTGAAGGAAAGTACTGGGATTGGACTTTTTAATGCATTTTATGATGGCCATTTTGTCATCTTCGATTGCATCCATAGCCAGAGCCTTTTGCTGTTACCACAGGCCGATGTACCAGGGGGAAACCCAGAAAATACCGCTGTCAAACAGATCTTTGTTCAGCGCCATTGTATCGTCTCCTGATGCCACCCACTCCTGCATTTGAACATGTTCGGTTGTCACAGTAATTTATTTTCCTCCTTTACTGGTGTGAAACATGCCTTCTTGCTTACTGTTTTTCCTCCTTTTTTGTTGGGGGAAAAAATGTGCTTTAACTGAAAAACTAAGAATGCTGCTTTGATGAGTGCTTGACTGTTGAAGTCAGTTTTGCTTTCTGGATCTTGGGTGCTAACCCTAAATGGCTGCCTTGGGTAGAGCAGCCACTGTAGAGACATCTCTTGGGTTTGGATCACATCGTTGGGTTGTTTTCCCTTGCAATGAAATGCACTATTTAAAAATAAATGAGACCTGAGATTCCCCTCTGCAGTTCCCCTGACTCCCCGAAGTTAGGAAGCGTACGTCTATACCATGAGGTTTGCAGGAACGTAACAAGGTGTGCTACCAGTACTGCTGCAGCACTTCTCCTGACTTGAGATTAACGTTAAAGAGTGCCTCTGAAATCGAGATGCACACCTGCGTTTCTCAGGTTCTTCCCCAAATTCAGGATTAGCTCCCAGACGCACGTCTGTCTGCGCTGAGAGAGCAGCCATCCCGCAGGAGCCAGGGAAGGGACTTGCAGGATGTCACAGCATCTTTTCCAGAACACCAGGTGTCAGCAAAACCTCAAAAATGGGAAGCGGTTGTCCGTAGTCCAACGATTTTGGCTAAAACCGGGCTCTGTGCTGTGTTTTGAGTGCGTGGGTTGCATTTCTAAAAAAATTGAGATTTGGATTGAGTTGTACGTGACACACACCACCACAGTCGGTCTCTGCTTTGTTTCCTACATCGAATGCCAGGGTCTTTTAGGCCACCCTTCCCCAGCGTGCTTCCCATTTTCACTGCGCTGCTGATGTCCATATTCCAGCGTGTGGTCGTGTCTGAAAGTTTCCGAGGGGAACCTGGAGGCTTTGTCCAATTTTGAGGGGTTAAATGAGTCTTCTGGTATGCGGGAAGACGTGAGGCCGTTGGGGATTGTGTGTGATGGCTGAATACCAAAACGATTCCCAAATAGATAATTAACGTGGGCCATTTTTAGAGCTGTTACTATTACGTTTCAGATTTATCATCGTCCAAAAATGGGAATGTGTCAGGATGCTCCACACACCCCTATTGTTTCAGGCTGCCTGCAGTCTCCGGAAGACAATGTCTGAACTAGTCAGTACTGGTTTCATACACAGAAGGGATTTTGCCCCCTGAGACCAGATCTTTAGAAAGAAATACTCTGCTGTAAATAAACACACTGCTGGAGGGCGGTGAGGAGCCCGGATTTTGTGCTAGGGAATAGCCGGAGCCAGGCTGGGCCGGGCTTTCGCACACGATGGCTGCTGTTTTGTAGAGCTGGAAACGCAGCCGCCGTTCCCCCTCTGCTAAAACCAGTTCCAGGTAGCGCTGAACCTGCTGTGACTTGGACGCATCACGCTGGGCAGGAGAGAAAACACAGGAAAAACTGATTTTGGAGAAAATAGGCAAAAAAACGGAAAGACTGGCTGCCTCTCCCTATTTCCCCCAAAGCGACATTTTAAGCCATGGGCGTGGAGGTAGGAGGGCAGGTCTGGCACAGACCCCACTTCTCCCGCTGAATTCCTCTCTCAGGCACAACCTTGTCCCTTCCTGTGATGGTTTCTGGCCGGGTTTACACAGGAAGAAGGGTTTGCTCCCAAAAACTAGGCTCAGCTTTTAGTTGGATGTTGCCTGTTGTGTTGCCTGAGCTGAGCAGGAGCATTCGTGACCTGTGAGCCCGTCTGCGTCCCCCGCCCCGCTCCTGGGTGCCGGGAAGGGAGCGGGGCTGGCGGAGGGGGGGACCTCATCCACGCTGAAAACTGACTCGGTGCCTTGAAACTCCTCTGCCTTTAACAGCCCAAGCTGCAGGAGAGGGGAAAGCTGGCCAGGGGGGAATACGGGACTTGCTTATTTTGCCCATGATCTTTAAAAGCATGAACAGAGCCCATAGTAAAGGGTCCTGTGCAAATAAAGATGGTTTCTTTAATCTGAAACCTCAGAGGGAGGCTTTCCAACCTTATTACCCTATCTCCACATCAAAAATACTGATATAAATATATATATAAATATCCCTGATGACTGCCCAGCGTCGGGTGAGGTTGCTAATGGTACGTCGGGTGC